TAATGGTCTCCTATAAGAGGAGGAGCTTAGAAAAGAATCTGAGAAGTGGCCAGAGAGTGGGAAACTCCAGGAGAGTTTGTCATAAGAGCACTAAGGAAAGGGACTGTTAGAGGACAGTAGCTGCTGAGAGCTGCTGAGACACCAGTGAAGAGAACTGAGAAGTGTCCATTGGTTTTGGTGACATGGAGGTCAGAGATGACCTTAGCACTTTTTGGGGACCAGGCCATTTGGAAGTTGGTTGGGAAGCCAGATTTCTAAAATTTGGCCATGAAGGGTAGGAGAGGGGACAGGGAGGTCTGGGGTCAAGGTAGTTTGTCATTGTTCTGTTTTATTCAAAGATTGGAGAGTGTGTATTTCTCGTGAGATGCAACTGAAAGAATTTAAAGACAGAAAAGAAAGAAAGGATTGTTAGTAGTGTAGGGTTTTGGAGAAATGGGAGGCGGGGTGGGAGCTAGGGCATGGGTGGAAGAATTGGCCTCCATTAAGAGGAAGGAAGGAAGGGTGGCTCATAGTTGTAGGGTTGTAAATCCAGAGCAGGACAGTGCAGTAGTTTTCATCTGATGTCTTTTAGGCACTGTCATCTCTCAGGTGTTGGGAATAGAGTTGGAAGCTTGAGAGTGAAGACTGTTTGAAATAGTTGTGGAGATAGGATCATCTGCTGGTGTTGGCAGGTCTGTTGAAGTTTGGGACCATGAATTTCTGGGGTTCCATTCTACCTATTGTGTAACTTTTCTCCAGTAGCACTCAGCAATCCAGGTCTGGGCGAGGGAGTTTAGACTGACAAGAGAATGACTGATAGATTGAGGAACCTAAGCTCGATTTAAAAAGGAAAGCAAGGGGCTTCCCTGGCGGTCCAGTGGTTAAGACTCCGCGCTTCCATTGCAGGAGGCACGGGTTCAATCCCTGGTTGGGGAACTAAGATCCTCCATGCTGTGCTGTGCGGCCAAAAAATAAATAAAACAGAGGGTTTAAATGAATAAATAAATAAATAACAATGAAAATGAAGGCTGGAAGGGTTGATAGATAGAATGAAGAGATATTCTGGTATTAGAAGTACTGAAGACCTAGAAGAACAGAGGTATCTAGAGTGTAGAGCAAAGAGACCTGAAGTGTGGGGCCCAATAGTACATGGGCACATCCTGCCCAGGATGTGGGAGAATAATCAGCCTGTACCAGAGGAGAGTGTTGGCCTCTGTGGAAGACAGGTTTCCCGTAAGGCAAGTTTTGGAAGGCATGCTGAGTGAGGAAATTGAGGAAATAGATGAGCTGGCTGATTATAGAGCAGGAGTTACAGAGGGTACAGGGACGTGTTCAAGAGAAGGGTTGGAAGGTTGGCTCAAGAGAAAGAAAGCAGTATTACCAACCAGAATTCAAGTACAAAAGAGGTTAAATCACTGGGGGTGTGGGGGGATGGGGGGCGGAGGGGTGTAGTCCAGAGGACTCTTTTGCTCTTACTCTATCTAGAGGATTGTGTTCACAGTACCCACGTTTAAGGAGGACAAAGGGACTAGGAATATTTAGATCTGTTTATACATTAACAAATCTTTATTGAATTCCTGTAATGTGTGGAATGCTGCGTGACCGTGATAATGTATAGGTAATATGAGTCACAGTCACTGCCCTTAAGGAAGAGACATATATACCAACAATGAACTGCCATAGAGCAGTGTCACCGGGTCCAGCCAGGGGAACTGTGGTGAACTAGAGAGGAGTGCCTGAAAGGAGGAGCAGTTACTCAGCTCAGCTAATTGTTGCCCTGTGAGAATACAGACACAGGGTTGCCAGATTTTCTTATTATTTTTAAAAGGGACCAGAAATCTCTGTATTTAAATGTAATTTCCTGACTTTTAAATGTCAGCAACTAATTCAAAATTTTCTTTAAAACACTATCCAAATCAAGCAAAACACATAAGGGAGCTGCCATCTTGCAGCCTCTGCCATAGACTGTGATAAGTACAGGAATAGAAGAGTATTTTAGGCACAGGGGTGGCAAAGGAGGGAGTGACTCAGAACCACGTTGTATGAGGAATGGTTCAGTGGAAGGGGTGTTGTGATCAGCCTGTAGAGAGAGACGGACACTAATTTCTTTCTTTCTTTTTTTTAACTGGGGTGTAGTTGCTTTACAGTGTTAGTTTCTGCTGTACAGCGAAGTGAATCAGCTGTATGTATACATATATCCCCTCTTTTTTGGATTTCCTTCCCATTTAGGTCACCACAGCGCATTATGTAGAGTTCCCTATGCTGTACAGCAGGTTCTGATTAGTTATCTGTTTTATACATATTAGTGTATATATGTCAATCCCAATCTCCCAAGTCATCCCACACCCCCTTTCCCCCCTTGATGTCCATACATTTGTTCTCTACGTCTGTGTCTCTATTTCTGCTTTGCAAACAGGTTCATCTGTACCATTTTTCTAGATTCCACATATGTGTGTTAACATACAGTATTTGTTTTTCTCTTTCTGACTTACTTTACTCTGTATGACAGTCTCTAGGTCCATCCACGTCTCTACAGAAGACCCAATTTCATTCCTTTTTATGGCTGAGTAATATTCCAGTGCATTTATATACCACATTTTCTTTATCCACTCATCTGTTGATGGACGCTTAGGTTGCTTCCATGACCTGATTATTGTAAATAGTGCTGCAGTTAACATTGGGATGCGTGTGTCTTTTTGAATTATGGTTTTCTCTGGGTATTTGCCCAGTAGTGGGATTTCTGTGTCATATGATAATTCTATTTTTAATTTTTTAAGGAACTTCCATACTGTTCTCCATAGTGGCTATATCAATTTACATTCCCACCAACAGTGCAAGAGGGTTCCCTTTTCTCCACACCCTCTCCAGCATTTATTGTTTGTAGATTTTTTGATAATGGCCATTCTGACCGGTGTGAGGTGATACCTTATCGTAGTTTTGATTTGCATTTCTCTAATAATTAGTTATGTTGAGTATCTTTTCATGTGCCTCTCGGCCATCTGTATGTTTTCTTTGGAGAAATGTCTATATAGGTCTTCACCCATTTTTTGATTGGGGTGTTTGTTTTCTTGATATTGAGCTGCATGAGCTGTTTGTATATTTTGGAGATTAATCCCTTGTCTGTTGCTTCGTGGATACTAATTTCAACTATTTAAAGGACTGTCAAGTGGAAGACAGGTTAGACTTGTGTCCCTTATGGCCTTAAAAGGTAAAACAGTGTCAACAGGAAGTATGTTGCAGCTCAAAATGGGAAAGAACTCTTAAATGACTAGAGATGCCTGAAGATGCAGTGCACTGCCTTGGACGGGAGCAAGTTGACAGGGCTGTAACGGAGAGGTATCTGGGGAAATGAGTAGGCTCTTCATCAAAGGGTCCCTTTCAACTCTGAAGTCCTACAGTTCTGAGTGGGTGAGGAACCAAGTGGACCTAAGAAATGATGAGCAGAGAGGATGTCAAGAAGGGCAAGCAGAAAGCTTATGAAATGGGAGATGCTTGAGGGCCTTAGAGGACTTTCCTGATTGGCTTGGGTAGGCAGTGACTAGACAGCCAGGAAGATAAGAGACTGTAGGACAGACCTGGGGTTTGGGAAGACGGGAATTGACCATCCGCTCATTCCTTCCTGAAGAGACCTATGAGCGGCTTGAGGCTGACAAAAAGAAGCAGGTCCACAAGAAGCGGAAGTGCCCTGGGCCCATAATCACCTACCATTCAGTGACAGTGCCACTAGTTGGGGAGCCAGGCCCTAAAGAAGAGAATGTCGACGTAGAAGGGTGAGTGAGTGAACCTCAAGGGGAGAAGAGGAGTGCAGTTTCTCCCTTCTGTATTCAGCTTGTATTCCCTCAGCCCCATCTCACTTGCTTTCCTCACACAGCTCTCTAACACCTGAGTATCTTTCAGATTCCTCTTCCTGTCATCTCCTATTTCTCTTTTAGCCTCTCTCTTCTCCTTTTCTGGTTTTCCATCCAGCTCTGCTTTGTTTTGTCCTATCACTTAATAGATTCTCTCAGAATGTTGCCACCCACTGCCTCCTCCTCTTTCCTCACCTGTCTGATCTCTTTCTTTATCAGTTTTCTCTCCTCAGCTTTTTTAAATTTTTAAATTATTTATTTATTTATTTGGCTGCGCTCAGTCTTAGTTGCGGTGTGCATGTGGGATCTAGTTCCCTGACTGGGGATCGAACCCGGGTCCCCTGCATTGGGAGAGAGGAGTCTTAACCACTGGACCACCAGGGAAGTCCCTCAGCTCTTTGTGTTTTTCTCTGTCTTTTCCCTCAGACTTGATCCTGCTCCCACAGCTTCTGCATTGACTCCCCGTGCTGGGACTGGACCCGTCATCCCTCCTGCTCGCTGCTCACGTACCTTCATCACTTTTAGTGACGATGCGACGTTTGAGGAATGGTTTCCCCAAGGGCGGCCTCCAAAGGTCCCTGTTCAGGAGGTCTGCCCAGTGACCCATCGCCCAGCCCTGTACCGGGACCCTGTTACAGACATACCCTACGCCACTGCTCGAGCCTTCAAGATCATCCGTGAGGCCTACAAGAAGTACATCACTGCCCACGGACTGCCACCTACTGCTTCAGCCCTGGGCCCTGGCCCACCACCTCCTGAGCCCCTCCCTGGCTCTGGGCCCCGAGCCTTGCGCCAGAAAATTGTCATCAAATGAAGGGATGTCTAGTCCTTAGAAACCTCTTTCCTGTCCTAACTTGGGGCTCTTAAGTTAGGGCTCTTAAGAAGCCCGCTTCTCCCCTTTGTCATCGCTGATCTTTGTCCAGCCCGTCTCTGTATTTCTTTCCCTGTCTTTTCCCTTAGTTCCTACACTGCTTTTGTTTGTGTTTTTTAATCTAATAAAATAGAAAGATCCCTTTTGTCTGGTGTCTAGTCTAAGTTGGGAGCAAAAAGTATTTGTGAATGTCTGCGTATATATGGGCCTTTATATTTAATAGCATTTATTATGAGTTGCCCTTTTTACTTATTTATTTTTTTAAGGGTTATTTTTATTTTTTGGCTGTGCTGCGTGGCTTGCAGGATCTTAGTTCCCTGACCAGGGATTGACCCTGAGCCTTCAGCAGTGAAAGCGCCGAGTCCTAACCGTTGGACTGCCAGGGAATTCCCAGAGTTGCCCTTTTTGAATTGTAAAATATTCATCCCTCCAACAGTTTATAAACACCTTAAAATTAGACACCAAAACAAAATCCTTATACTGACCTTTATATCTCTGTATAGTCACTGCTTTGAATATAGCAGGCACCAAATAAGTAGGAACTGTGTGATTCTCATAGAACTTGTTTCTAGGACTCGGGCTTGTATGAAGAGGAGGAGGTGCCATGGCTCTTAGTGGCCACTAGAGGCTCTCAGGGCTGGGCAGGTTATGGGGGCTGTGTATATGTGATCTCCCACTACCCCCCACCTGGCCAGAGCTAAAATAATAAAATGCTGAGCTCACTGTTCCCCCACCCTCTCCCCCGTCGCTGGGCTTCTCCTGCTGCCAGGACAGTGCTCCAGTAGAACAGACAGACCAACCTACAGAAGGGGAGGTGAGAACGGAGGTGGCCACCAGGACTGGTAGGTGGGGAAGGCAGGGGCCTTATGGATCAGAGCCTGGTGGGAGATGGGAGGAGAAGAGTGGCTCCTATTGGGAATGAAATGGAGTGTGCGCCTCTTGTCACTCAGCATGTTTCTGCCACTGTCTTATGTTCTCCCTTAACTGTAGTTTACATTGTCAGTGTAAGTATCTCACACATTTTCTGAATCTTTCATATTCAGTATGGTGTGTATGTGTGGCTTGTGTTTATTTTTCACATTGTAAAAGATATTGCAAGTTTAATCCTCTCACTGTTTTTAGAGAAACTTTATCCCATTTATAAGGCATTTCCCACCCATTAGACTGGTGTCACCTTCCTGTCCAAAGCCAGGGACAAATTATGGGAACTCAGTACCTGCTTCTAAGGCCATACCACCCTTCCCCCAACCTGGAAGTCCCCCAGCTCCTCTGAGCCCTTGCTTTGCCTTAGGATTTAGAATTTTAGCAAACATAGTGAAATCTTGATCTGACACAATAAAAAAGGAAATGAGGGTAGAGTCAGAGCACTGTCTCCCCCTCCCCCCCCCCACCCGCTGCAATCCTCCTTGCTTTCTTAAGCCAGTTTAGGAAAAACTGGATTATGGGGACGAGAGGAGGAATATCCCTGAAGCTCTCTGCCTGCCCCCATTCCTTTCAATAGGAACTGGGCTTGGGGCCAGCTGTGCTTGCAGGGCTCCCGGCAGCTGTGCTAGGGCAAGAGGCACGGACAGTCGAGGTAATAGGGGAGAGGTACTGCCAGGATTTCATATACACTGGGGAAGGCAGATTCAGCCTGGATGCCTGGGATCCCCATCCGGAGTGGGTGGAAGCTGTGGGAGCCAGGAGGAGGCTCTGGTCCTAGCTAAACAACCTAGCCTTCCCCCATCTTCCCATATCCAACTAGGTCTATCCTCCAAGGCAAGCAGTTTATTGTTCTGCCCCACTGACCTGTTTCTTTGTCTCCCTACTGCGTCCATGTACATCCTTCCATTGTCCAACCACTTTCCCCATGTACCCCAGGCTCCGTGAGTGCCACACTGTGGGGAGGGGGTGGGGGCCATCATGTCATCGTATCAGAAGGAACTGGAGAAATACAGAGACATAGATGAAGATGAGATCCTAAGGACCTTGAGCCCTGAGGAGCTAGAGCAGCTGGACTGCGAGCTACAGGAGATGGACCCCGAGGTAGGGGCTCTAGCGCAGGGTACCAGGGGCAGTCCCCAGGCATTTGGGAAGGGTGTGGGGCCCTGGGTGACTGAGACCAGGGCTATCTACAGGGCCTGGAGTCCCAAGCGGGTCAGGGGAATGGTGTCTGGAGATGTTTTAGGGAGACTTGGAGGTGCCCCAGGTCAGAGGGGAGGTCTGACTTGCTCCCCAAAACTCATCCCTAAGAACATGCTCCTGCCAGCTGGACTAAGACAACGTGACCAGACAAAGAAGAGCCCAACGGGGCCGCTGGACCGAGAGGCCCTTTTGCAGTACCTGGAACAGCAGGCACTAGAGGTCAAAGAGCGTGATGACTTGGTTCCCTACACAGGCGAGAAGAAGGGTATGGAGACCCTAACATCCATGCCTCCCAGAACCCAAATTGTTGTCTCTCAAATGTCCCCTCCAGCTTCCCTCTCACCTTCCAGCTCCTAGCTGCCCAGGGACTCAGCTGCCTACACCTGCATGCCAGCTTGCACTCTTCAGCTCTTAGAAGAGATCAAGGGGACCCAGGAGTCCTGAGCTTGTAGAGGACTCAGGCTTTATAGTGGCTCCTAGTGACCCAGCATTCCACCTCCTGGAGAAGGAAAGGAATCTGGAGGCCAGGATCTTAGGAGAAATGACCTGTACCTGAACCATCCTCATCTCCCCATCAGGGAAACCCTATATTCAGCCCAAGAAAGAAATTCCAGTCCAGGAGCAGATCACTCTGGAGCCTGAGCTGGAGGAGGCACTGGCCCATGCCACAGATGCTGAGATGTGTGATATAGCAGGTGGGCAGCTGTGGGAAGTTGAGGAGTTGGGAAGATCTGGGGCAGGGGCTCCTAACCATGGCATGGGGCTAGCGGGGAAGGCCCTGAACCAGGATGTGGACGTTTTGAGAAAGCCTCAGGCAGTGGTTTTAAATTTTTCTTACTTGTTTATGTATGTATTCACTCATCTTTAAATTTAATAAGTTAACAACTCTAGGGCAATTTTACGGGGATTATAAAGCAAAACTATTCTGGCTGAAAACTGGAGGGTCTGACAGACTCCCTCACCCTGTAGTGTCTCCTTAGGGATCTTCCCTTAGCCCTGTCTCAATGTTTTAAAAACCACTGCCTTAACGCAGTTTAATGGAAGGGACCCCTGGGACCAAGGGAGAGTGGAAGAGGTCAGCCTTCAAAAATGCAACAGATTCAGAATGAGGTCGGTGGGGGACCTGGAACAAGTCCATTTCTCTCATTCCCTGTCTCCCCTCTGCTTACTCTCTCCAGCCATTCTGGGCATGTACACACTGATGAGCAACAAGCAATACTATGATGCTATCTGCAGCGGAGAAATCTGCAACACTGAAGGCATTAGCAGTAAGTGTGTTTGGGAGCATGGCGCCCAGGGCTCTTGGCAGGCAGTCCCAGAGTCTGAGCGAAGGTAGCAACAGGTGAAACAGGTGAATCAGGGAGAGGACATGATGCATAAGTCATGAGAACCAATGGGGAGGAGATTGTGGGGGACATGTTGGGGTTTCCTTCCTGCCCTCACCCACCAGGTGTGGTGCAGCCTGACAAGTATAAGCCAGTGCCAGATGAGCCCCCAAATCCCACAAACATCGAGGAGATACTGAAGAGTGTTCGAAGCGATGACAAGGAGCTGGAGGAGGTGAACCTCAATAATATCCAGGTATCTGGCCCCCATCCTCTAAACAATAACACTGGGATAACTCTGCTGACATATGTGAGTCCCCTAGCCCACCATCTCCTATTCCCCTTTGATAGGACATCCCGATACCCATGCTAACTGAGCTGTGTGAAGCAATGAAGACAAATACCCATGTCCGGAGCTTCAGTCTGGTGGCCACAAGGAGTGGTGACCCCGTTGCCAGTGTAAGGCTAGCTGACATCCCTAGCCCTCTCCCTGCACCCTGACATGCCCCGCTGGCAGGGCTGACATAAAGGGCTGTGCTGGGGGTGCTGTTCCCATCATGCTCTCTTAGGGGAGCCCTGCTGGAGACTTCTACCCTCAGTCCTATGACTCACTGCTCTGAAATCCTCAGCTCATCTTCCTGAAGAGCCACAACCCTCCTACCCACGCCAACTCCACTGCGCACTTAATCTCCCTGCTTTCCTTGCTACCTACTCCCACACCTGCCTCCCTCAAGCCCCACCCACAGCTCAAGGACTCTTCTCCAGGAGCTGTGTTTCCCTCTTGCTCCTGTTCTTTCTCTCCTCAGTCATCTGTGAAACTGTCCCCTAACCCTAACCCAAGTTCCTACTACCCAGGCGGTGGCTGACATGTTGCGTGAGAATCGTAGCCTCCAGAGCCTGAACATTGAATCCAACTTCATTAGCAGCACAGGGCTCATGGCTGTGCTGAAGGCAGTTCGGGAGAATGCCACACTCACTGAGCTCCGTGTAGACAACCAGGTCAGCATTCCCTTCCTATCTCGTGGTCTTTGCAGTCAGCTAATACTCACTGAGCCTCCTCCCAGAGGCAGCCACTGGGGCAGGATCTCATCTGATCTTGTTTGAACTCTCCTCTTCTTTGTCCCTATGAGGGGAGCCAAGGCAGCACCTCTTATCACCCACTCCGGAGAAACAAGCCTCTTTGACCTCCCAAAGGGTCGGTGGTCTAGGACAGTGAACAAGCCAGACAGGGTTGGTGACAGCTTCCATCTCTCCTTCCCCCAGCGCCAGTGGCCTGGCGACGCAGTGGAGATGGAGATGGCCACCGTGCTTGAACAGTGCCCCTCCATTGTCCGCTTTGGCTACCACTTTACACAGCAGGGGCCACGAACTCGGGCAGCCCAGGCCATGACCCGGAACAATGAACTGCGTGAGTAGCTGCAGAGGTGGTGTGTGTGGGAGAGGGCACGTAGCTGCAGAAGCTGGTGGATGCTCCTGAAAGCTGACTTAGTGACTAACAGCCTGGGGTGCTGCCAAAGTGACTCACATGAGAAGCTCAAACCCCATAGGTGATCCGAAAGTAGACAGAAAAGCACCTCTGCCCAAATATACCAGGAGAGAGGCAGAGGGAAGCTACAAATACCTGTTTGGGGGAAATGGTATTTCTATTTGCTGCGTTGTTTCTTATTTTGTTAATGTGAGGGGGGAAGGGCATGTTTGGTGGCCTAAGACATTACCTCTTTATGAGTCTGGCCAAGGAACAAGAAAGAAGAGCACCTTTGCAGGAAGCAAGAGATGGGATAATGACTTGTGTTTACTCTTCTTCCTTTACAGGTCGCCAGCAAAAGAAGAGATAACACTACCCTTCCCTTTACCAACTAGAGCTCGGAGCCCTGAAAGCTTAAATCCTCATCTTGTAAATAAAAGCCCTTCTGTCCGCTCTGCCTGCCTCCTTCCTTCGACTTTGGGGTGGAAATCTTGGCGCTAACCCCCAAGGGTTACTGCCAGTTCATCAGGGGATTATTTATACTCTGGGGATCAGCAGGCAGGGAGGTTCAGGTTACCAGCAGGAGGTGGGGGAGCTCCCTCCCTTGGTGTTCCCCATAACCCTTCCAACGCCTTTAGTCTCTTCTACTTTCACAGGGTGGCCAGCCCTGGCCCTGTTTCTTGACATGTCCAGCCCCTCCCCCCGAACGCCTACCCACAACCCCCATGTTATTTGAAGGAGGAAAGGACTTTGAGTGGAGGTGGAGAAGAAGGCAGAAAACATGAAGGGCAAAAATCTCCTTCTGACAGACTTATTAATAGGGCACCGGGCTGCATGCAGCTGACGCTTGGCATGACTTTGGTAGAAGGTGGGGGAGGGGTTAGAAGTATGGGGAGCTGTGTACATTGCAGAGAAGAATTGGCTGGGCTGAGAAGGAACAATTCTGAAATCCTGAAACAAGGAGCCAGACTCAAGGAAAGTTAGGCTCCCAGCACCCACTGTAGTTTATTTGTGAACTGAACGGGGAAAGAGGGTGTCAGTCCAAGGGGAGATCAGGGGGTTCCTCTTCATCAGAGTCAAACTCAACATTTTCATCTTTTACCCATCGACCTCGTCCATCTGGGATCCATCCAGAGCTGGAAACATCAGAAAAAAGAGAATTGGTCAGGAAAGGAAGTTTATCAAGAAATTAGTGGGGATAAGTAAAAACACTTGAAAAGCTTTGAAAAAAGGAGGGTCAGAGAGAAAAGGGGAAATCTGAGGAAAGTGATTCTGCATACTCACCTTCGAAGGGTGAGGTAATGATCCAGGGCCCGTCTTCTTGTGGGGCTCATAGGTGCAGGGGATGAGACAGTTGCTGACTCCTTGGTCTGTGAGCCAGCCTCAGGCTCAGGTTCTCTACCGATCTTCCCACCTTGGGGTTCAACCTCTGGGGGTGGCAAAGGGGAACGAGAGACAGAGGGACAAAGGGCTTCTGGTCTGGGTAGAGAAGAATCAAAGTCTGTAAAAGCAGTAAAGGAAAGGGCCAAATCTCCTGTGACTCCCAACCCCTTAAAGCAGTGCTTCCTAAAACTGTGTTCCTCAAGATATTAATAAGCGTTGTGCATAAAAAGGATTTTGGAATCCAGTGAATTTAGGAAAGGCTAAGTTAACTTTTTTAAGGTTTTTTTTTTATCTTAAGACTTTGTAGACCCCTTAAAATACACTAATATTACTATTCTTCAAATAGGATTACAAAGCACCACTTCCCAAACTTTTTTCTTAATTACAAGATTCTTTTTCCTGAAATACAAGTTAACACCTCCAGAACACTAGTGTTCCTCAGATTACAATTAGGAAAACAATCACTTTAGAGCCATCTATCTCCTGTCCCTCCCTATCTCTGGCTTTCCCACCCCACACACCTGTACTTCCGGCGGCAGCAACTGTTATAGTGAGGAGCTCTGTGCAGAGCATTCTGGGTGATAAGTCGAGTCCGGGTTAACAGAGGAGCCTGGCATGGAGATGGGAGACAGAATCAGAGCCTTCAGAGCTAGAAAGAAGCCAAAGCCCTTCAAGCCTAAGGTGTGCAGCACAGTCCTGCCTGGAACACAACCTCCCCACTCAGATTACCTCCACTTTGGTCTCTTCCCTCCTTAGTTCATTCTGCTCTCTTGGATTCTGCTCCATGCCCTTTCCTGGCTGCTTCTTGCCATAGAAAAGCTGCAGGCCTGAGGAGGAAGGGGAAGATAATTAAAAGCAGAGCACCAAGGGTGGTCTGAAGAGATTTTAAGGGTTTATTCTCCATCCTCTGTCTTCTCCCAAACTTACTGGACAGATGCTTCTTGCCTGCACGGTGGGCAGTTAGCATGGCCAGAGTGTCCAGTACAGGTCGATGGGGACATATGGCACAAGCAAAGCTGGGGAGGAGGAAAGAAGAAGATAATTGGCCCCAGAGTAGTGGAGTCTCGGCCATAGGTCCCACCCCATCCTAGCACTCCTTTCCAAAGTCTTCCAATGTCCACCAACCACATCCCTGTCGCTCACTCCTAGCTAAAGAATCTTAGATACTCCCGCTCTCCTCCTTAATAACAAAAGTTTATTAGGCATCCCTGGTGGCACAGTGGTTGAGAGTCCGCCTGCCAATGCAGGGGACACGGGTTCTAGCCCTAGTCCAGGAAGATCCCACATGCCGCAGAGCAACTAAGCCCGTGCGTCACAACCACTGAGCCTGCGCTCTAGAGCCCACGAGCCACAACTACTGAAGCCCGCGCACTTAGAGTCTGTGCTCCGCAACGAGAAGCCACCACAGTGAGAAGACCGCGCACCGCAACGAAGAGTAAGCCCCGCTCTCCGCAACTAGAGAAAGCCCGTGGGTAACAACAAAGGCCCAACGCAGCCAAAAAAAAAAAAGTTTATTGAGCCTCTAACCGCAGAACCCTTAGGCTTGATCCACTCCTCGCCCTCACCGTCCATCCCGTAGCATCAGCGCCTCATCCTCTGGGATATAACTAGCCAGCAGATCCCCAACTCTTCGTTTCTGCAGGAGATAGGGGAAGAAGTCCGGACGGGATAAAAGTGAAATGATAGGGACGAGGACTCAAAGGGAATAAAGACCATGGGGCGAGCAGAGATCTGGGGCGAAGAAGGGGTCAACAGCAGCTCTAGTCGTCTGGCTCCCTCCGCACCACCCCCCACCAGTTGTTGTCACAGCAACAAAACAGCTCCTTCACATCCTTCAGAGGGCAGGTGAAGCTGCTCCAGACGCTCTTCTCTCGCGCTTACTTTGAGCACATTGAGTTGACTCCAATCATCCCCTTCCCTCTTGAAAGACATCACGACTGTGAGCCCCAGAAATGATCAATTCTACGGCTCCGCCTTCGACACTCCTTTCAGGCCACCGTAGCGAGAGTGGGACTGCTACCTTCCTTCCTGTCTCTTTCCGGTTGGCCCCCTTACTTCCGGGGACGCTCTTCCACGCATGCACTGCGCGATCCCGGAAGCCCGCCCCTTGCCTGCGGATGGGGACTGCATTTCCTATGGTGCCCTGCGACCCCGCCGGCGCGGAGCCTTTAGGGAAATGAAGTCTTTTTTTCAAAGAACTTGCCGCTGGGCTGGATACAGGCCCCTGCATCTTGACAGATTCGAGGGTTTGGAGGGACAAGAACCTAGATGTGGAGCCCGAATTTGAGGGTGTGACTAATTTGATGTGGAGGGTACCTTTGAGGATCTCTGAGGGGAAAGTGTGCTGTAGACTCTCGCTTTCATCACACGCTTCTCCTGCGGCCACAGCCCACCTGGGGTGGGCCTGATTTGTTCCCGACCCTAGCCGGCCCACCCCGGGACGGGGCGGAGTCGGGGTGTTGAGGGGCCGGGAGGTCGGGCTGCCGGACCTAGGGGCAAACTGAGCTGAGTGTTGAGGAGGTTGTCTAGAATTCAAAGGTCAGAGGTCAATGTCGCGAGTTGTCGTGGGGAATCGAAAGTCGTAGGGGTGCTAAGGAGAGACTCAGGTAGAGACTGAATAGTCGGAGTACAGATTGGTGGGAAAGGGGCTTGGAGGGAGGAGAAGCGAGGGCTGTGAGGTCGCGTAGTGCCGGGGGAGGCGGGGAGACTTAGGACAGAAGACTGAAGGGGAAAGGAATCCTCTAAGTCTTAGAGACCCCGGGCCCGTCACTATTGGTCACTTAGACAGGCCTCCCGCAGTTGCAACCCCAGTTGTCCGCAGGGTGAGGAGATGGCTTCTCCCTCTAGACAGGCCCCCCTTGGCGGGTCAGGACTGCTTCAAGGGAGCCGGGCTCGTTCTTATGGAAGCCTGGTGCAGTCTGCCTGCTCCCCGGTGAGGGAAAGACGCCTGGAGCATCAGTTGGCGCCCGGAGACACCCTGGCTGGACTAGCACTCAAATACGGGGTGACGGTGAGTCTAACAGGATTGGGACGCAGACACCCACTTAGAAGAGACTTATTTCTCATGAGTAGGTAGTGGCCCTCTAGGCAACTTCCCCTGAAATTTTCTTAATTGTGTTTAAATTAACTAATTTTGATAAATTAATTGTGGTGTAAGTCTGGTCCACCTTTGTCTTTTGGTTTGTGTTCCCATCTCAGTGTTGCACTGTCTGGTTGGGACAAATCCTGTCCCACTATCCCAATGGAGGGGAGCAACTCCTATTTATTATGCCAGTCACTATACTAAAGACTTTACATCTATTAGCCCATTTGATCCTCACATCCCTGTCAAGCACACAATTATTGTCCCCTTTTTACAGATGAAGAAACCGAGACTTAGATTGGTTAACCAGTTTGACCAAGGTCAAATAACTAAAGTGTTGAAGTGAAAATTCAAACAGGTCTGTCTGACTCCAAAGCTTGTACTGTTAACCACATAGCAACACTAATTGAGTGATTAAACATTTACAGCAAACAGTGGAGAGCTAGTTTTTAGTCCTAAGTTCCCTACGTGCCTGTCTGTTCTTGTTCTTTTTTCTCCTCAATGCTCTGCCCTCTTCTTTTCTGGAAGGTGGTCTCCTTGGTACAAAACAGGTACTCTCTATGCCAAGCATTTCAGCTCCTGCATAGGGTGTATTTGGTAGATGTAAAAATACATTGTTTTAAAGTTGATAAAGGTTTTTTTTTTTTCCATATCCTGTTGAATTTAGTCAACATTTTAATGCTTGGTATGTTTAAAGCACTGTGGTAACCACCTGGGGAGACAGAAACATAAATAAAGTGTATAGTTGCTGCCCTCATGTAATTTACAGTCTAGTGAGATATGGACAGGGACACAAATAATGATTGTAGGTGACAGAATGTGGTGAGTTCGTAGAGGTGTTAACAAAGAGGGGGAAGTCAGGAAAGAAGACTGATTTTTATTTGGAAGGGGACATCAGTGCAGATTTTAAGGGAGCCATCGCAATGGGCCTTTAAAGACTTGGACATTCTTTCCTCTATGCTCCTCTCTATAAACCTATGTAATCCAGTGG